AAGTGCTGCACAAGCTGTAAGTAGTGTCCATTTCCATCGCTATTTGAGCCATGCTAACTGTCTTCCTGCTTCCATCGCTAGAAACACATGCTGAAGGAGGGCAAGGGCCGGATGCTGCAGGCCATCAGCCCAAAGCAGAGTCCCAGCAGTAGCCCCACACACGACCGCTCCCCGTCTCCCTCCTTCCGCTGGCCCTTTTCAACCAAGACTCCTCCTTCCTCACCGGCTAACCGCTCCAGGAACGAGTCTGCAGTCACCTACGACATCAGTGAGGATGAAGAGGATTAAGCTACCAGCCAGGATTTGCTGTGAACCGCTAATCGCTGAATCCTAAATCCAGACCCACTGGGGAACTCTAAATGAGCAAGAGAGCCATAGGAACAGGGCTGACGGTGAGCACAGGGCCTTGGAGACACCCGTTGCTGTTAGCAAGGGCTGCTGCCTGGAAGCACATTCAAACCTCTTCTCCCTTCTCCTCCCCAAATCCCCTTTTTATTGTTTACGTTCTAGTGGTTTTCAGGGGGAAGATGGTTTTTATATTTTAAGAAAATTCTCTTTTAAAGTGCAAAGAGTAGCACTCAAGCATGGCTTTTGTTTTGGTTTCTTTTTCCCTGTTAAACCTCCAGGCAAGAGGGAGAGTGGGAAGACCCATCTGTCCCTTCTTTCCTTCAGCTCCTCTGTCTTATTTCCCCCAACCCCAGGCAGTATTTGTGCCGCTGCCAAACGAAAGGTTCCTCAACCAGAATGACCTCAAGAGCACACAGGAAGCAATGATGTAGAGAGGCTTCTAGGAAATAGAGACATCTCTGCTGCACTGGAGCCAATAGGAATCTTATCCAGCAGACCCTGTAGTGCTCGCACACCTCGTAGCTGAGCTTCCCAGCGTGTCGCAGTGAGGACGTGCTGGGGAGGGGGCTACCAGCTTAGCACGCGGGAATTACACCCTGGAAGAAGTCACAGCACAATAGAGTCGCACACCCCGTAAGCACGCGGCATTCGCAGCTCCAGATGTGTATGGGGACTGCAGGGGAAAGGCCTTTCCAGCCAATCTTAACAAGACTGCTAAATCTTGAGCTAAAATTCAGCCCCCAGTTGCTGGTGGAGAGAAGAGAATGAATCTTTGCTTCGGGGCATTTGCTGTCTGTGCATTTCCTTGGGTGTCTGAGAGCCCAGGTAGGAAACGAATGTGTGTATGCTCCTTTGAGAAGTTCCTTGTCCCAGTCTCTGGTGTGTAATACATTTTACTGTCTGTCCAAATGGTCCCTCAACACTGTGCTCTGTGCATGTTTGTCTGTGTTTCAGTTGCTGTGCTCTAAGGGCTGGAGCAGTCCTTTACACTGGTGCCGTGAAGTCGCTGCTATAAGGACAAAACATGAATTCGTACAGCCAGTTTGCTGTCCGTGTTGGTGTGTGCAGCTGGACAGATAAAGGGCACGTTTTACCCCACTGAAGGGTCCCAGTCCCGTATGACAGTTACCTGGCTTGCGCAATAAATGCACAAATCTGTGCCCGCTTACTCCGCTCCTTGAGGCGGACCAGAGAGAACATCAGAGAGCACTGCAGCTTTTTAAGATTTTAAACATGTAATCTGCTCATTTGAATCCATGGTCCAAGTCGTGCCTGCTGTTGTGTCTGTAATAAACACTGAGTTTTGTGGCCTGTGGCTCCCCGCAAGCAGTTGCCCTCCCCGAGCTGCGTGCCTGTGCACAGAGCAGGTCGGTGCGCTCTGTCCTGGCAGCCAGCGCTGGAGGGACTGGACTTGCTGTCGTGTAGCTGTGAAGCTTCCGCTTGCTTTTCTGTTCAGGTTTGCCTGTGATATCCATTGTCTCTGGGTGGAGCTGCTGGGCTGAGTTGCCTATATCCTCCGGCAATGCTGGGAGCAGAGGAGGACAGCTCGGAGCCTGGTCAGCAAGACTGCGGGGGGGGGTCTTCAGAGCAGGATGGGGGGGCTCAAGGAGCAACGGGTGCAAGGAGGCAAATCGTCAAGTGCTGCTGCAAGCTCTGCACCATGCAGGGCCCTGTGGTAGGAGCAGGTTGCTGCTGCTTTCCATCTTGTATCTTGCTGATCCTTTGTCACGCTGCCCAAAGGGGTTGATAGAGACTCTGTGCTGCTGTTGAGGCCAGAACCGATACAGGAAAAGGTATTTTGGGGATTCCTCATCTGCCACTTGGACCTCTCTCAGCAGGGATGTGCATGGCTCTGGGAATGTGGCTGGCTGCTGTGGATTTTAAGTTGTAAGGAGCAAGTAACAGTCACTTGGTACAAGCCAGTTAATCCCCTGGTTTATGAGTAGTAGAGCACTTACTTTATATCACCTACATTCTGTCTTCCCTCATCCTCCTCACCTTCCCTTCCTCACCTTTCCTTCAGTATGGGTATTTTTTTCCCAAGCTGAATCACGAAGGCCAGGCTGCTTTAGAGCCTTACTACTGTTTTAAACACAAATTACACAAGTCTTCTGTAATTTTGGGATAACAATGGTGTTTTGAATGGTGGTTTGTTCTGCGAGACCTTAACGTATTTCTTGGTCTTTCGGCAAAACCTGGGGTGTTTGGTAAAAAGCCAGCCATGGTTTTACATGTAGCTTGGAATAATAGAGCTGTTTCTTGTAACCAATAATCCCTGCTTCCTCCTTGCACTTAAATTAAAATGGACACTCGAACCCCAGACTAATCTTTCCCCCTCCACCACTTTGTTTTATTGTTTCCTCCTGGATTGCTGGACCAGCCTCATCTGCAGTGCTGCCTTGTCCTATCAGTAACAGGACAGAGCTTGATCTTTGGGCAAGACATGCAAGCCAAGTTCTCCAGGAACATCTTGTTACCTGCAGATATACCCTGCTGCTGCTTCAGGGCTGTCCTGCATGCCCTTAACCCATCCCACACTCTTCAGAAAAGAAGCATCCGCAAGAGGCATGCTTGAGTTAAGCTCAAAGTAAGAGATAGAGTGGAAAAATAAAACTCAACTAGCATGCATTGAAGAACATGTGGAGCTTGATGCTGCTAAATCCAGAGGCATTGACTATTGCGAGACAGCCCTACCCCAGTTCCTCTATAGATCTGGGGTGTGAGGCTGCTGGTGGCAATAGCCAGCCCCCAGGAGAGGATTTTCTGATGGCACAGAACAGCAGCAGCAGGACAAAGCTGAAAGGCACCGAGGATGCTGGTAGAAGCAAGACGTGAAGAGTGTGGCACTTGAACAGCATATTGCTTAGAACTGTAGGAGGAAGTCTTTAATCTCTTGAGGAAATCATGGCACGTGCCTGCACTGACATAGTTTTGTGCATTTTATAGAGGGTTGGGACATTATTGTGGGGTCTGGCTCTTGTAACCAGAGGCAGGCGCTGGAGCAGCGAACACTTGGCAGTAGCAGTGCCTTTGGTGGGACTCACCCTGCGTCTTGCCTCCTGCCCTCAGGGTGGGCTTCTTGCTGCTAAGGGCTCCCTGGTGTAAAAATGTGGGTTTTCTGCCTGCCATGGGTAAGGACCTGAGTCCGGTTGTCTGATGGGGGGGTGGGAGGGACAAGTCCCATATTTTGCTGCTGCTTGTCAAAACCATGAGAGTGCTGGGTGCCAGCACTTCTGCTGGTGCCTAGGAAGCCATGTTGGTAATGGCTGTGCGCTGTTGCCAGGAATCTGCCAAATGTGGTAATCTCATTGCTAACCACCAGTGCATCTTCTGACTGAGCGGTTTCGGTTTGAACACAACCACCTCTAAAAAGCTCTGAGTCATTTTTCCCCCTTCTTCATGGGGCAGAAAACTTGCTTTTTCCCCAGAATGAATCAGTTAAAAGTTGGGGGAATATTTGGCTTTCTGACTCTGCTTACCAACGTGTCGCAGTGGCTGGAGGTATTGTGGTGGGAGAGCACCAGGGAGCAGATCAGGGGAAGCTTTGATGGTGCCTGGCAGCAGGCTCTGGTCTTAGCACTGACGGTCTGGCATCTGCTGCCCATTTCCAGCCACGGCACTGCCCAGTCCTGCCGTCACCTCCAGCCCCGCAGCAGCGGCTGCTTCAAGCTGGCTCTTCCCGGTCGGTGTTTGCTGTGCTGTTTTTTCTGTATGGGCCTGTGTGCACACCGTGTGTCTTACTGGCTTGTTCTGGAGTTGGGTTTTTGGCTTTTATGTTTAGCCAAATAAATGCAGTCATTTTACTCTGTGTGTGCCAGATTCCTTCTGCCATCCTTGCACAGCTGGCTCCCGTCATGGTCTGCTTGCCTGCCATCGTAGCAGTGGTTTGAGTGAGAAGATGCTTTGGTGACGGGGGTGGAAATAACCCAGAGGTTTCTGTAAGTCCTTGTCACTCCTGATGTAGGTGTAAAGCAGATACTGCTATCGGAGCAGATCCTGGGCAAGGTTGGTTAAAGCAGCATTAACTAATTGCCTGTGTTGTGAAGGTGCTTCAAGGTTCCTTCCTTTGCCTGGCCCCAGGCTGGCAGGTGTGGATGCTCCCACTGTTCTCTCTGGCGCAGCCCCC